TATTTATTTATTTATTTATTTATTCATTCATTCATTCATTCATTCATTCATTCATTCATTCATTCATTCATTCATTCTATTTGGATAATAAGCCTCAGATAATGATTAGAGAAGCTGGTTGAAGCACATTTCTGTTACACGATGTCTTTCAGCATTTATCTATTTCTTCAGAAATTCAAGCCGAGTGAGAACTCTACCTGAATTCGGATGCAGATCACAAGCTGAATATGAGCCACCAGTGTGATGTGGCTGCAAAAAAGGCCGATGCGGTTTTAGGATGCATTAATAGAAATAGAGTCTGCAAATCCAGTGAGTTATTCATTCCCCTCCGTTCAGCACCGGTTAGGCTTCATCTGGAGTCCTGCACCCAGTTCTGGACACCGCACATTAAGAAGGATGCTGATAAACTGGAACAAGTTCAGAGGAGGGCAACTGGGATGACCAGGGGGCTGGAAACCAAGGCCTAGGAGGTGAGGAAAGGCTGAAAGAATGGGGCATGTTTAGCCTGGAGAAAAGAAGATTGAGGGGTGATAGGATAGCACTTTTGAAATACATGAAAGGCTGCCCTACAGAGGAGGGGCAGGACCAGTTCTCGATCCTCCCAGAGTGCAGGACACGCCACGATGGGCTCAAGTCAAAGGAAGCCAGATTTTGGTTGAATATCAGGAAAAGCTTCCTAACTGTTCGAGTGGTACGACATCGGAACCAGTGATCTCAGGGGGAGGTGGTGAGGGCACCAACTCTGGAGGCCTTCAAGGGAAAATTGGACAGCCACCTGGCAGATACCCTTTGAATCCAGATTCCTGCATTCAGCAGGGGACTGGACTTGATGGCCTCAGAGGCCCCTTCCGGCTCCATGATTTTACGACTCTCTGATTCAGTGCTAATTAGGATTGGCTGCCTTGTCAGGTCCTTGTTTGATCTCACGGTCTTTTGGGTTCAACCGCTGTGCTTCCCTTGGGCAGCCATCCCTCTCACGGGCCACCTACGTGAGCCACTCCCCACCTGTGGGATTATAAATTTCCCTGGACAGCCAACGCTCTACCTAGAGGTAGCTCAGGCAGCCCTGTAGGTCTTGCGTCCCCTTCCTGCAAGAACGGCAGCCTGTCAATGAGACAAATAAATAAACAGGACTTAACGGTGAACCATCGTCCACAACAAGACTGAGAGGCAGTTGGGTGAGTTCTGCTCCTTTTTTGGTTCAGTTGTGTCCTTTGTTGACACCCGAGGAGTGTTCTACACACAACGCTCATGCGAAAGGGAAGCAAAAACCAGAGACTGGAAAGAGTTCATTTATTTTAACTCATTAGCCATCCATTTTTAAGTTTTTTTTCTTTAGTGGGCTATAATGTCAGTAATGTTGTTTTGTCATAACACAATCCAAGTTTTCTCTCCTTAAATTTGGTTAATGATGAGCATGCCTTCTAACTCACCTTTTGCAAGAGAATGATGTCCACTCTACCTGTCCTGGGTTCATTCATAAAATCCTAGGATCGTGATGTTGGAAGGGGCCTCGAAGGCCATCAAGTCCAACCCCCTGCTCAGTGCAGGAATTCCACTCAAAGGATACTTGCCAGGGGCTTGTCTAAGTTTCTCTTGAAGGCCTCCAGGATTGGAGTGGCCACCACCTCTCGCGGTCTTCGGTTCCATTGCTGTACTGCTCTAACAGTTGGGAAGTTTTTCTTGACGTCCAACCGCATGTATCCTCCCATGTCGTCGTCTTCTCCAGGTGAAACAGGAAAGATGAGGCACCACATTAGTTTCATCGTCGCCCTTCGTGCCTTCCTTGTTGCCGGCTTGGTTTTAAAAGGTGAGTCAAGAAGTAGTTTCCATCTTCAGAGGTAGTATACCTGTGAAGACTAGAGATGGAAAATGAAAAGGGAGGCAGGTCTTCGAGACAGTTGAGTCTAGGCATGTCCAGCATGTGTTTGTCTGGAAACAGAGCGATAGAGTTTGGACAGTCCTGCTCTGACCTTACTGAGCTCAGGGGGTTCCTGCGGACCTCAAGTGTAATGCCACCCACCAATACCCGAACAAAAACCCCCACACACCCCAAAAGCCAAAAGAAAGTGAGGCCAGGACAGAGGAGATTAGACTTTGAAGCCATTTTTAGACTGGAGAAAATGAATGCCAGATCTTAAAAAATGATTTTTTGAAGAGAGAGAGAGAGAGAGAGAGAGAGAGAGAGAGAGAGAGAGTAGTTGACTACATTTTGTATGATTACCAAAACAAATCTCCTGGTGGCTGGAGATTCTGGAAATGATAAACCAAGGAAATCTAATTTTTCCAATGCTCTTCCTTTGGCTAGCAGGTCTTGCTCCAGGCTAAAAACAAAACAAAGCATCTTATAATAACAGAGAAATACTACAATTAAAAGACTCATCAAAATCAACCCCCACCCTACCCCTATCCCATGGGTTGTGGTGGACCCAGAAATGGCTGATCTGGGCCATTGAAAACAACAAACAAACAACTGTGAACAGCCAGCACGTTGGGGATACCTTGGTCCTTTTTTGAGCAAGAGCTGCCTGCAGGTTTTCTGATGGTGGGCTTCCCGTTGCATGACCTGGATGGACTCTGTGGGGACCTGAAAGGGGTCTTGACCGGCCTCTGGTGTCCTCCTGAGTCAGGGCTCGGCTGGCCTCCCTCCCACCATGCCTGACACTACTTCCTTCTTGTCCATGTGTCCAGGACCAGGACCCTGCCGTCGAGGGTGGCTGGCCTACCGTGGCTTTTGTTACGGGGTTTTCCAAGAGAAGAAAATGTGGGGAGATGCTCAGGTGAGACAGAGAAGGGCACTTTTTGGGGTTCCGCATGTCTTAAAGCCCAAGCATCAAAAGAGATGTTATCCTCTGGTACAACACGGAGAGGAAACACACCATGAACTCCGTGGGATGAGCGAGGCTCCCTTTCTAAAGGCAAAAGCTGCTGTCCGGAGTGCCTTCCCAATCAGAAAGACACCAAAGCTTGGAAATATTGATAAGACGACATATTTTAAGTGCTGGGATGCTTTGAGTGACCGCCTCAAGGGAGGCTCGAAAATCGGCTACTTGGACCTTCTAAGTGGAAGCCGTGTCGCTTTGGAATTCCCTCCCCTTCAAAGAGCGCCTGGTCCCCTCCCTCCTTGGTCGTAGGAGGCAATGGAAGCCCTGGCTCTTTTCACTATCCTTTTCATAGCCTTGCCCCCAGATTACCGTATTTTTCTGTGTACAAGACACCCCCCTTCTAATCCAAAATTAAGAAATCTAAGTGAGATTACCATATTTTTCTATGTATTAGACAAAATTAAGAAATCTAAGTGGGGCTTAGCAAGTGTAGGGGGAAAGGGATCAAAGCGCTGCAGGATCGCTTTCATCCCTGCTTTCCCCTCCACTTGTTTTTGTTCTCTCCTCAGCTTACTTCTGTGTATAAGACGACCCTCAATTTTTAGCCTAAAGATTTAGACAAAAGTATAGTCTTATACATGGAAAAATGCGGCAATTAAGCCATCTTAATTAATTTTGATTTATATTGGTTTTTGACTACTGCTCGCCGCCTGTTATTTTTACTGCCTTTATTTGTTATCTAATATTTTTGTGCCTAATGGTATCGTACTCTTAGGGACCATCTTTATCACAACCATCCATTTTCTGAATTTGTCCGACTCCTTTCTCTTATTCTGTGATCTTGACATTTCTCTGTTAACTGCCCAGAAGAGTGAGTGGCTTTGCTACTACAGTTGAGAAGGCTAAAAATGTAAACAAACAAGGAAGGAAACATTTCCCTGACATTTCCAAGTTTTGAAAGACAAAAGGTGCATACATGGGCACACAACCAGAACGGCACATTTGTCTGTCTTCCCAGGTCGACTGCCACAGGATGGGAGCCCACCTTGCCTCCCTCCACAGTAATGAAGAGGCCGTACAGGTATCTAAGTATGTCTCCATGCATGTTCAAGGACAGCAGAATGTCTGGATTGGACTACATATTCCTTCTAAAGTAAGTAAGTTCTCTCTCTCTCTCTCTCTCTCTCTCGTGTGGCCTGAATCCAATCATAGATTTGTCTTGCCCGTGTCAGTGTCATGCCACAAATCGCCCTGGTCACGAGGGCATCGCTAATTACAGAGTTTGTATTGGGATATACAGTAGGACCCCCACATCCACTGGGGAATTGGCTCCAAGCCCCTCACCCACGGACACTGAAAACCGGGGATCATAGTGAACACTCTCTGTAGAGGGACAGCTGGATCGAAAAAAATTATTTTATATGTGTTCCTGCGTTCAATTTTTGGAAGCCTTGAAGAATAGTGGCTTGCCACTCGATGGACGGGAAACAAACAAACAAACAAAATAAACAAAAAGAAAGAATGTTATTTAGCAACTTGTAAAACTGCAAAAGAATGCTGGAGGGTAATCAAATATCTTTTACTTCTAAAAGCAGTTCTGCTTTCGATTGTGAACATAATAACGGTGACTCTAATAGAATTTTCACGGTACATGAACTATTTTAAGCTTTGGACCGTTCCACCCCCACTGCCACTGAGTTTCCATGGCTCAATGGCTCTTTGAACCCAGATCCTCCCCCCCCCAGTGCTCGTCCATCACTCTATTCACAGCAGCACCTGGGGTGTTTGTCTATAAAGCGTTCGCTCTGTCTGTCGGGACCAATCTCTACTAAGAACTCCTTAAAGGGTTGTTTCCCCTTTTTCCTTGGTGCTGATTCTGTCTTTGGGGCTTTGATTTTTGCCAACAGAACAAACCATGGACATGGGTGGACCATACTCCGCTCAGGTACACGGCCTGGAAAATTGGGGAGCCAAATAATTACGTGCTGAGCCTTCGCGATGAAGACTGCGTTGAGCTCAACAGTGGCCTAGGTGAGGGTCGTCTTATATAATGGAAGTATCCTTTCCCGTAACAGCTGGGAAAGAAGGGTTGAAGAGTTTTGAATTTTTGGATAAACCCCTTGAGCTATGCAGCAGGAGGGCAGGGAGTCACGGAACAGAATACTGTAGCTTCACGTCCCCTGGAATAGGCCACCCCTTTCCCCATTAACGGGCCCTGAACCATCTCCATAACTTACTCTGAGATATTTCTAGTAGAGAGAATAAAAATGTTTCCTTTGACTGACGGTGATGAACTGCAAGCTGTCAAAAAGGACAGCTTTCAACAACACACTCTAGAAAGGGAAAAAGCACTGAACAAAGAGGAGGGGATATCCTGCAGTTCAGAGGCGGGGGAGAACTATTGGTTAATGCTAGTTAGATTGACAGTCACCCCAGTCCAGAAAGGTCCCTCCCAGACACGCTTTCTCCAGGCAGCATGTGAGGTTGTAAAAACTCCAACACAAAGGGGAGTGGTAGTCTTGGGGGACAAAATAAACAGGACCCAAAGTCACGGTATTTCTGTGCCAAAGGGAATTTCCCTTCTTGATCTTCCTTTTAAAAAGAGTACTTGTGCCCTGAGGTCAGGGTGGTCTGTGCCTCTATGGGTAAATAGACCCCAAACATAACACTAGGTAGGCTGTTATCGTAATGCATTCCAAAGAAACAAACGAACAAAAAAAACAACAACCTTATATTGCAGAACTATTTATGTGTGTGTGGGGGGGATCATTGGACCCATGTGCCCCGCAGTCACTCCCCCTTCACCCTATCATCCATTCCCTTGATAGCCACACCTGGTCTGTGCCACGTCACCCCTGGTGGCCCGGATTTTCAAGCCCAACATCATCCTGGTTTCTTTCAAGATCTGTTCCATTTCTTTAGACGGTCTGAACTCTCCACCATCTTAGTCAGGCTGGTGTGTGTGTGCAACCTTTGTAGTTGGGAGGTCTCACCAAAGACTTCCAGCAGGACCTCCCATGGACCCAGGGTAGGCTTGAATCCTTTGAACATGAACCGAAGCGCTTGACCCTTGCTGCCCTGGGGGCGGAGATGCTCAGCTTTGTGGAGGGAAGGCTCACCAGTTGGAGAGTTGGGCAAAAGTGGCAAAGACTGGTGAACTGCTGGCTCCACTTACCCCTCTGGGGCATCAGCATAATCCTCGATGCCATACTCCTCTTCCTCAGCCTGGTTTCCACTTTTTAAGGTAGCTCTGGTCTAACTGTGCCTCCTGAAAAACTGTACGGCCAAAGCAGAGCTACCTTAACAAGCTGAAAACAAGGCTGGCTGAGAACTTCCTCTTCTCTCCCTCTGTTGATTCTTCACTCCCTTCTTGCTTTGGTCACCTCCTAGCACTAAGGCAGGGAGCCTTTAAAAGACAATGTAACAATAACAACAACAATAAAAGAAATGGGAAAGGAAGAAGGAAACAAGCAGACCCAGGCAGCAGGTGTAGGGAGAAGAGGATTCCACTCCTTAACAAGCTGCAAACAAGGTTCAGTGTCAATTCCCCTCCTCGCCCACCAACCCCACTTGCTCCTGAAGTGAATGAACCTGGGGGAAACACCACTTCCATGGGGCAAGTCTACAATGGATCCATTTTCCCCCCTGCTGTGAAGTCACACTCTTCTTTGGTTTGAATCTGGCGAGAGCAAGGGCTTGGAACATTCCCCCTCCCCCCCCGTTGCCCCCTTATTGCAGGGAAAATTCAAAAGCGCTGGGCAAAGTGCCCCTGATCCTGTCTGAAGAACTCTGGACCTAGCAGGGGCAGCGTCAGCCAACGGCTGCCTTACAGGTGGCACATAAAGGGTGCAAAGGCAGAGATAATGCAACCGTCTTCTTGCTCTCTTTCCCCTCCTTCCTAGAATATCTGCGCTGGAATGACGTCAAGTGCACGGCCCACCGCGCCTATCTCTGCAAGTACCCTAATGTTCCTCTGTGCCTCACCTGTGGATAGTGGCTCTTCCATGGCTGCAGAAGACACTCAGCGTGGGCTGCATGGCTGGGCGGGTGGTTATATTGATAGATATTTCTCCTGAAGTCCCCCCCCGCCACTCCCAATGGCCTAGACATCTCTCCCGGTTTCCTCCTCTCCAGCCTCACAGGCACCCATATATAGAATTTGAAAAGTTATCTTGTTGGACTACAACTCCAGTGAATCATCTGGGGATGCTGGGGCTTGGAGTCATCTGAAAAGAATAACGTATCCACACTCTGACTGTTGGGGGCGGGGGGAAGTTCAAAAGTGGGCGGTTGTGGTCAGAGTACCACGGCTGCCTGAACCCCTCAGGCGCCCCCAGCTTTGCACACAAGACCGACAACGAGAGAGGGGCCATGTGTCCTCCCACTTGGGTGACAGTCCTCTCCTTGAAGGGGAGTCTCCCTTGTGAAAGTGCCCTCCTCTTGAAGGGCTATCCAGTCCAAAACGGATTTAAAGAAAGGCAGTGTGGGACCTTGAAGGTGTCCCCATCACCTGCAGGGAGCTGCGTTTGGACAGCTGACACAACACCTGGCCACTGGTCCCCTGCGGGGAGATGCGTCGCCATTCTGTTTAAGTTAGAAGGATAATTACCGTATTTTTCGCACCATAAGACGCACTTTTCCCCCACAAAACAGGGGGGGTGGTGGAAAGTTTGTGCATCTTATGGAGCGAAGAAAACAGATTATATTTTTCTGTTTTCTTCTCCTAAAAAATTAGTGCTTCTTATGGAAAGGTGCGTCTTATGGAGCGAAAAATACAGTAATTCCAGGGACTCATTTCTGTAATCCAGTTGAAAGCAAATCGGAATCCAGGCTCCAAGCAGCCGGTGCTTCAATAAACGGCATTTCAGAAACGCCATTCTGTGGAGGCCCTTTTTGTTCGCTCATTTTCATTGGGTCCTTCCCTCCATCCAGGAGAAATCACAGCATCTCTTGCATACCATGAACCACCACCACCCCCCAAGGGGAAATGGGGGAAAGAAGGGGGAAGCGGCTGATGAGTAACTGTCAAAGGGCTGTTTTTGAGCCCAACCTTGGGTCACCCTGGCGTCCTGGGACTGCAACTCCCAGAAACCCCGGCCAGCACAGCTGGTGGTGAAGGCTCCTGGAAACTGCCATCCAAGAACACCGGGGAGACCCAAAGTGGAGATCCACGGCTCTAGTCCATCCAACCGTGCTTGGAGATGGTATATAGATTAATTGCAAATTTGGCAAAGATACTCTGGAGTGAGTGAAGCACACAGGGCTGGCCAGACAATTGTTGTTTGTCGTTAAGTCGTGTCTGACTCTTTGTGACCCCATGGACCAGAGCACGCCAGGCCCTCCTGTCTTCCACTGCCTTCCGGAGTTGGGTCCAATTCATGCTGGTCGCTTCAATGACACTGTCCAACCATCTCGTCCTCTGTCTTCCCCTTCTCCTCTTGCCTTCATACTTTCCCAACATCAGGGTCTTTTCCAGGGAGTCTTCTCTTCTCATGAGATGGCCAAAGTATTGGAGCCTCAGCTTCAGGATCTGTCCTTCCAGGGAGCACTCAGGGTTGATTTCCTTCAAAATGGATCGGTTTGTTCTCCTTGCAGTCCAGGGGACTCTCCAGAGCCTCCTCCAGCACCACAATTCAAAAGCATCAATCAGCCTTCTTTATGGTCCAGCTCTCACTCCCAGGCATTGCCAGATACTGGCGTCACTTTAAAAGGCAGGCAGACAAAAGCGCTCCGGTTGCATCTTGTTGCTGTCATTTTCCCTCTGCTCTATCTTGGCTCCTGTCATAGCCGCGTCCCTCCTCCCCGCCTGCTTCACCAGCCTCTGGTTCTGGTCCTTGCTTTGCCCCACAACAGCTGAGCCGGCTGGCCAGCCGCTTACCCTCATTTCAATGCAGAAATGGTCGATTTACCGAGGGCAGGCAGGAAAGCCAGCACCCATGGGAGGGGACCCAAGTGGAAGAGAGAAGAAGGGTGGATGGTGAGGTCTGGCCAGGGGAGGGGGGGCAAGGAAGAAGAGACCCAAGGGGCAAATGTGGAAAGTGAGCGGGAGCAAGAGAGGGGATGCGATGGAAGAGGGGGCTGGCCTCATTCACCACCCCTACGCACCCCGTAGCCTAAAGAAGCCTGACAGGCAAGCCAATGCTGGGCACACTGTAACCGCTATAGAGCCGGCACCCCACAACTGGGGCATTAAGCACAGCATCCGACAAGGATCCCCCTGTACCTTCAGTCATCCTGAGGCCAATCCTGGATAGCTCAGGGGTTTAGGCATCTGACTACAGAGCCAAGGGCTGGGAGTTGGGTTCCTCCTTGACCAGGGCTGGACCGGACAGTCCTGCAGTTCTAAGAGTTTTATTATTACCATTATTGACCTGACCCGAGGTTTTTGGTGGTGGCTCTCAAGCTGGCCAGCCTCGTGTAGGGGAAGAGCTTTTCAGAACACTCCTGAGACGGTCAAGGAGTGTTACTCATAAGGAGGCCAGAGAAGAGCAGCAAAAGAACAGAAGGGACCAATGAGCTTCTTTAGAGTGCCTTTCCTCTGAGAAAAGAACGGCCTCCCATTCTGGAAAATGACCTTCAAGGCCAATCAATCCTCTGAACCCAAGGTTTGACCAAAGGCCACAGCCTTGAATTTGCAAGACCTGAGTTGAGCCTTAAGGACAGGGCATTTTTATCTCAATATTAGGTACCATCAAGTCAGTTCAGACGGGTGGCAGCCCTATGAATGAATGGCCTCCAAACCATCCGATCATGAATACGCCGTCCTGACCCAAAATCTTGAGCTGAAAGAGATGAGAAGCTCTTGGAAGGCCAGGGAGCTTCCCGGTTACGAAGCAGCAACACTGAACTTCCAGTTTCATCAAGTCCCCATTCCAGATGTATATGATTTCTTAATTCGTTTCCTCTTTTCCACATTTTTAGAACCTTATCTTCCCCCGTGAAGTGGCTATTGGACTCCTTAACAGAAGCCGAAAGGGGAACACGAACAAGCCCACACTCACCCAACCTCTCAACCTCTAATATCAACACTGGTATAGCACGGCCCTCATGGAATGTATCTTCCACTGGTGGAGGTCATTCGGAGATGACGCACAACTCTGTTGCTCCATTTCCTCTTCGGAAGGAGAAGTTGCGTGGGCCCTGGCCACGACTACATACTGAACAAAGGCTAATGGGCTAAATTTTAACCCCGACAAGAGAGAGATCCTGTTTCTAGCAGGGTGCCCCGGTCATTTTAGGGGGTCTGTTGCCTGGTCTCAACGGGGTCACGCTCCTCCTGAAGGACCAGATTTTTAATGTGGGTATGCTTTAATGTGGGTAGGCAGAAGATATAGAACAATTAAGACTCGGACCACATGTTTTCTCAATAGTTTTTATCCCAGAACTATAATTGCAATTAATAATGAGCTTAAAGACCACCAGTAGTGAATAATTAGTTGGACTGTGTAACTTGCGACAGGGTCACGCTCCTCCTGAAGGATCAGATTGTTAATGTGGGTGTGCTTCTACACCCAGACCTCTCAATGGAGAACCAGATCTCGGATGTGGCCAGATCTGCCTTTTCCAACTTAGGCAGATCGCACACCTCTGCCCCTATCTTGACAACCTGTCCCCAATAACGCTGGTTCATGCACTGGAAATCTCAAGGATTGATCACAACAGTGCTCTCTACATGGGGCTGCCCTTGAAGGTGGTTTGGAAGCTGTTGTTGTTGTTGTTTAGTCGTCAAGTCGTGTCCGACTCTATGTGACCCCATGGACCAGAGCACACCAGGCCCTCCTGCCTTCCACTGCCTCCCAGAGTTAGGTCAAATTCATGTTGGTCGCTTCGGTGAACCTGTCCAGCCATCTCGTCCTCTGTCGTCCCCTTCTCCTCTTGCCTTCACAATTTCCCAACATCAGGGTCTTTTCCAAGGAGTCTTCTCTTCTCATGAGATGGCCAAAGTATTGGAACGTCAGCTTCAGGATCTGTCCTTCCAGGGAGCACTCAGGGTTGATTTCCTTCAGAACGAATGAGGTTTGTTCTCCGTGCAGTCCAGGGGACTCTCAAGAGCCTCCTCCAGCACCACAATTAAGTTAATTAAGAGTTAAGTAAGACTTTGCTATGTGATGTCTCTGCTTTTTAAGGTGCTGTCTAGGTTTGTCATCGCTTTCCTCCCAAGAAACAGGCATCTTTTAATTTCATGGCTGCTGTCTCCATCTGCAGTTATCATGGAGCCCAAGAAAGTAAAATCTGTCACTGCCTATTGGAAGCTAGAGCAAGTGCAAAATGCGGTGTCCAGTTTGGTCTCAAATACATCGAAAATTGACCCTATTTCACCTTTTGTGACCCTTTTGTGCTAGCATGCGTCTAGGCCAAATTTGAGAAGCTAATGTTATTATGATTTATAAAGCCCTAAATGATTTAGGACATTGCCTGTCTTTCAGATCAGCCTCCCATCCCGCAGCACCTCCCAATTCTTGATGGGGTGGGTGGCCACTCCCCTCCCATTTCGTCCACTCCTTCCAACTCAAAATAAAACAAAATAGAATAAAATAGCCAGAACTCTTGTTTGCTTCAGGAAGAATAAGAGACAGCCTGTCTCTGTCATAGGGCAGGATGCTGAACATTCAAGAGAACAGACAAGAACTGCAAGATAGCTCAGTTTGATCCCCCGCAGGGCCTCTTTGACCAAGGCTAGACTCTGTGGTCCATTGGCGTCCTTACAGCTTTGCAGGTCTAGGATAATTATATTTATTTAACTTCCCCAAATACATTTCAGCAGCAGGGAGAGACTCCCAGCCGCTCACAGTCCAGCTCCTGGCATTTTCTGATGCTTGACTAATTGATCATCCATGGAGGCTTCAGATGGAAATGTTCTCTCCGGACCTCTGCACCGGCTGAGATTCAGATGGGCAGCCATGTATCTCGTGCCAGGCTTCCTGATAAACGCAACCCTTATTACTAGATGGTAATCTAACCTCTGCCGAACCGACGGAAGTGATATCAAAGAAGGAACTTTGTTTGAAGGCCTCCAGATAATAAATGCCATCGGATGTCTGCTTTCCACCTGATGAATTTATCAAGAGTCTGACAGGTGAGTCATCCTCTCCTTTTTGCTCCCTTTCAAAGCTTGGAAGCATCTGGTAGTGGTTCTAAGAGTCCTATTAGCATTTTGTCATGTTTCTAGCCATGCAATCCTATTGCACAATCAAAATGCATGCATGCCCCCTCAACAATTCGCTGCGATTAGCCTTGGCAAGTTTTGCAAACCTTAAGCAAACATACATACGTTTATAGCCAATGTTCTTCACCGGTTAAGAGTTGTAATTTGGTAGCTGATCGGCCAATAAACTCCCGACATACTTTTTTTTTTAAAAAAGTTTAAAAATCCCATAGAATTCCCAGAAATGATCACAGTGAGCAAATGTGAAAAGAAGTGATAAAATAGCACTATCTGGCATTTTAAGAATTCAGCTGGTGAATTCCGAATTCATTGCTGGAAAATATTAGCCAATTCAGAGTAGCTAATTCATTTCTCAGGCAAAACCGAAATAACAATAAAAATGAAGAGGAGAACAACATTGTGCCACTTTAAACACTAGGTGCTCTATTTTAAGGTGAGCTTTCATGGACAAGTCCACATCCTCACACATCAGAGCAATCAATCAATCAATCAATCAATCAATTAACAGTCTGTTTTAATTAATTAATTAATTAAAAGTTGATTTTAAAATAATTAATTTGAATGAATGTTTAAGTGGCAATTTAAAGGCTCTGTTTGACAGCCCCCATCTCCATCCACAAACGGGAGACAAATTCAAATTTACACAACACTTTGAGTAAAGGCAATCTCTCTAGTTAGTCTTCTTGAAGACTCATTAGTCTTAAGAACATGCCGAGAGTCCCAAAAAGGTAACTTTTCCAGCCTCTGGTGTTTGCTCACCTGGGACCCGACGGCTGTCCTTTTGTTTTTGAGTTTGTATTTTGTTATCCATTCATCCATGGTTTCAAATGCTCTTTTATACACACTAAAAACTCTGTGGGAATTGTTTTAAACCAACTGTTCCCAACCTTGGGTCCCCAGATGTTCTTGGACTACAAAATCCTGGCCAGCACAGCTAAGGGTGAAGGCTTCTGGGCATTGTAGTCCAAGGACATCTGGGTGACCTAAGGAGGGGGAACACTGTCCTAAACAAACCAACCAACAAGCATTTCAATCTGTCGTGGTTTCAGCTCTTAGCTTCCCCCCCGTCCCTCCACCTCTTTCTCTCAACTGTTTCTACTGCATCCCTTTCTGGGGGAGGATTTCTTTCCTCTTTCAGTTCCTTCCCTTCAGGTTGCCAGTCTCTCCCCCCCCTCCGGCCCCCCACCTGTTATTCCTAACCCTCTTATCGACGTCTCCATACTGTGCTATAGCTGTGTATCTTGTGGTCTGTATGGTTTTGGCTTTGGAAGAGGACCCAGGTCATCAGAAACCGCCCTAACCGAGCAGAGTTTTCGTATGGGAGTGTGATTAAAGGCTTAGCTGATGAATCAAACAACCTAATTCTATAGGAGCTTCTGTATGTCTAGTTCTATGGGTCAAAACGGACCTTGTAGAAACTTGTCTTGTGCTTTCTTGGACCCTGGCATAACATGGATTGATGGAGGCAGGGATGGGGTCTTGAGTCTGGACTTAAGTTGCTTCGGTGACTCAACTTGGGTTTCTTTTTTCCCCAATGACTTGGACTTGATCCTTGATTTGGAACCCAGCCACTCCTTACCTTTTTTTTCTGGAGAAAAAAAGCTTGTTTTTAATAGGGACTTGGGACCAAAGTCTCGGACATGGGACTCGGACCCAAAGCCTGCCAACATCCATGGACTGAGGTCTACCAATTTCTCCTCCTGCGTTTTCTCGGCAGGCGAGGACCATGCGGTTGACGTCTTTCTCCCGTCTCCACCACTCTGCTCTCCAGGTCACCATCACCCTTCTTGTGGGATGGAGCGCTGCAAGCTTTCTAACGCTAAACCTTCACTCCAGCAGGATTGCTCGCGCTCCAAAGAAAGGTAACCTTCTTATCCATCTCACATACCGGGATTCCATGACCCTCCACTTTCAGAGGGAGCAATACATCCCCACCAGTGTGATCATTAGTCCCATTATCCTTCTGTTTTTTAAGGACAGCAAAATCCAGCTTGGAGCATCCCCACCAGTGTGATCATAGTCCCATTACCCTTCTATTTTTAAGGACAGCAAAATCCAGCTTGGAGTGACTTGACAACCTTACTTGCAGTTCGGTAACTCTACTGCAATGAGTGCTGGATCAGCCCGTTTCCCTTTGTGAGCCAAAATAATCCTGAGGACTTGTTGATCATCTGCTAGGGGTCAGAGAAGCAACCTTTGGGGCATATGGGGGAGGGAAGATGGAGAATCTGGGCTTCAGACAAGAGATTGTATGGTGGAGGTGATGGTGGGGAATGGATCCATTCCACAATCATAGGTGGGATTTGGTGGAAAGGACAATGGGACCTAGGATGGGGGTGGAAGTGGGGAGGACCTGGAAAATACTTTTTTTTTGGTTGTGGGGGGAATCAGATAATGAGCTAGTGTTCTTTTCAGGTTGTGCTTCCCAACCTTGAGTCCTCAAAGGTTCTTGGACTACAACTCCCAAAAATCTTGGCGAGAATAGCTTGTGGTGAAGGCTTCTGGGAGTTTTGCTCCAAAGAACATCTGGGGACCCAAGGTTGGGAGCCACTGTTTTAAGGAAATTGCATGGATAAGGGGATAAGCGGATGGACTCTGTTTTAGGGAGGAGAATCATCTATTTGAAGAACTGTCCAGTAGTGACAATCCTTCTTTCTGAAGGGATCCTCCAGGAGAAGGGTGGCCCACTCCAAGCCTAATTTGAGAACCATTGGGATGGAGGTCAAGGACTTTAAGATGCCCAGGTATCAGCATCAGGGCAACAGACTCAGTTGTTGGGCACACAAGCCACCTGGTCAATGTCAACATCTGGGAGATGAGATGTTTCGCCATTCCATGCATGTTTCACGCCAGAGGCTGTCAATCTCTATTTGTGCCTACGTTTTTTGGGAAACCGTTTCTCCTCTTTTGCCTTCATTTTGGGTGATGCATGTCCATCTTTCAGCGTGGTGCCATAGGCCGCCCTCCAGCGGCGTGCTGCTTGACCCGTAATCGTCTTATTCTCTTTCCATTAGCACCCCCCGGCGCTAAATGCCTCGAGGGCTGGATGACCTACAAGGAGTGTTGCTACGGATTTTTCACCGAAATGGAAACGTGGTGGGACGCAGAAGTAAGAAGGGCTTCTTGGGGGTGGGCGTATACCATCGGGCACAGGTGCACGAACATGCTGAGAGAGTCCGGTTGCTAAGAGAGTCCAGCTGGAATCCTCCAAACAGCATCTCACTTGGCTTGATACAAACTCAGTTTGAAGAATTTCTGGGAGATGGCTTAGCGCTTTGGAGAGAGGTGTCCCACCCGCATGCCGATGGCAGCCAGGACCTCTCCGCTTCTCATCAGACTGAAGAGAGGCAGTGGAAATCTTGGACTGAGCTTGAAAATCACACTGCTGAGGGTCAATAACGTGGAACGACAGGCACAGGAGAGGTCTTGGGGAAGGTTGGCTTGTCTCTCTTTAGAGAGGCTGTGGTTAATGCATTCTTTAAGGGATTGCGCTCCCGTAAAGACTCAGTCCATTGTCTAAGAGTCAAATTGTACACTGAGAGAGGCCATCATGGGAAGAGAGAATTCCTCGAGGGCTTGAAGTGCCTTGATTGTCACAGGAGGCCCTATTGCACGTCCCATGTTTTGCCAACTGGCTTGCTTTGATTTGTGAGTTGATGTTACCTACCTGGCAATTCTTATTTGCTGTTTTCACAGCCACAATATATACTGTTGACTCGAAAGCTGATGTGTATGTATTCGATGTTACCTAGCTGGCAATTTGCTGTTTTCACAGCCACACTATACTGTTGACTTGAAAGCTGATGTGTATGTGTATGTGGCGGGGGGGGGGGGGAAGAGAAGGCCAATGCTATTTTAGGCTGCATCAACAGAAGTATAGTTTCCAAATCCTGTAAGGTACTAGTTCCACTCTGTTTGGCACTTGTTAGGCCTCCCCTTGAGTATTGTGTCCACTTCTGGACACCCCACTTCAAGAAGGACACTGACAAATTGGAACAAGTCCAGAGGAGGGTGACAAGGAGGATCAGGGGACTGGAAACCGAGCCTTATGAGGAAACTGCTTGTTCTTAGATTATGATGTTTCTGCTAAGGAAAAAGTTGATTTCAATGTAATACATGTGGAGTAGATGCCTGAAAACAGAGAGAGAGAGAGAGAGAGAATGCATCTCAAGTTGCTGGGTTTTAAAAAAATTCTGAATGCATGATTTTTAAGATATTCTCCCTCTTTGTTTCAGACTAGATTTTAATTTACAGTAACTGGATATTTGGAGAAGGGGTTGACTTCACCTGTTGACATGCATTGCAGCTGAACCCTCCAGTCTGGAATTTCTCTTTTAGGGCATTTCCCACAATAAGCCTGGATAAAATCGCCGGCTTTTCCTTTCTCTCAGGAGAAGTGTCGCTACAGCCCGGCTGCCCGGACTCACCTCGCCTCCATCCTTGATGACGAAGAGATGGACGCCGTGGCCAACTTCATCACACCTCTGAATCAAGAGTACAATAATTACACCCACCCCGTCTGGATAGGACTGTACAATCAGTGGCTGGGGAAGTCGGAGGTCAGGGCCTTGTTCTCTCCCTTTTTCACACCCTCGGACGCCAGCCATACTCCCTCTGCCGGTTTTAGATAACTCAGCAGCGAACCTTCTCTCTCTGGCAGCACTGGGCGAATTTACAATGATTTTTTTTCCAGATGAACTGATGAATCAATTTATCAATTCATTTTTTCCCTTCTAAACCCTATAAAATGCCCCCAGCCCAACACCAAAATCACAGAGAAGCTTCTCTCAACTCTCCTCTACATTCTTTCCAAGTCTGGTGAAGGTTGGGCTTCAGACATCCGAATTATACACCCACAAAGTGCTCCCCCCAGGAAAGTGCCCTCAAGCAGCTGGTTTTGGGGAAACCCAATCTTCACTGAACATGGAAGGATTGTAGAGAAGAGTCAGTAGAAGCGTCTCTGTGATTTTCATGTCTCTAGGTGTCTGGGGAGAACCTTCCTGGGGGGGGGGAGAGAGCCTCTTATGGATGTATACCTCAGACATCTGAAAACTCAATCTTTACCAAACATGGAGGGAATATAGAAGAGGGTCAGTAGAAACAGGCCTGTGGTTTTGGTGTCTCCAAGTGCGTGGTGGGGCTGTTTTATAGTCCAATCAATCAAAAATCACTAAAAATTACTGTAATTGATTTGTATTCATCAGGGGTGGAGATGGGGACTTCCTATTTGTATACAAATAGGAAGCCTGCTGGCACAGGTGGCCGTCTTGATGAGCCTGCTGGACCGCTTTCTTTCTTTCTTTCTTTCTTTCTTTCTTTCTTTCTTTCTTTCTTTCTTTCTTTCTTTCTTTCTTTCTTTCTTTCTTTCTTTCTTTCTTTCTTTCTTTGCTTGTTTGCTTCTTTCTTTCCTACCTTCCTTCTTTCTTCCCTTCTTTCATTCTTTCTTTCTTATTTGTTCGTTCGTTCGTTCGTTCGTTTGTTTGTTTGTTTGTTTGTTTGTTTGTTTGTTTGTTTGTTTGTTCGTTCGTCTGTCTGTCTGTCTGTCTGTCTGTTTGTTTGTTTGTTCTATTTGTATCCCGCCTCTCTGGTCATAACGGCCATGCTTTCCACATGGCACATGGGGTGTGTGGCCGGCATCATCTTCTGCACCCCAGTCATGGCCGTAACCCGGCTGCCACAGCTCTGCCTCCCTGCTCGCCTGGCCACTCTGCCGCTGAGCAAGGAGACTCGCCCTCCTGCCCCCTTGCCAGAGTGAGCAGAGAGAGATGGGGATGTGGCAGCCGAGTTACTGCTGCGATGGGGGTGCAGAAGATGATGCCGGCCACGTGCGCTGTGTGCCATGTGGTCCAGCAGGGTCAGGGGGTTCGTTTCATAAAGCCCGCCATCTGAGCCAGTGGGCTTCGTATTTGCATTAATTCGGACAAAATACGAATGGGTGAATTCATGATTTTTGGTGAATTCTGCAATTCATTTTTAAATCCGTGCCCATCTCTACCAAGGACCCAGGCTTACGAGCCTCTGCCTTAGGGCAGCACCCTGGGTTGCTCCATTCTAGTGGTAGACCAGTCACGGGCTGAGAGGTAAGCATGCACCGGGTACCACATGGATACAAACAGGGCATGGATGGAGAGAGATGCCCAAGCTTGAGCCAACATCTTGAGACCTGGCAGCCCTGCCTCTCCTACATCAAGCATATCTTTTGCCTGGGCTGGGAGTATCTCTGTTTCTGGGACCTAAACCTTTCAGTTGGCCAGCCAGTGGCAAGGCACCGAAGAAAGGCCACGAGGCGTGGGCTTAGAAGGATGCCACATGCCTGGAGGGTATCCCTATTTTCTGCGCTGGCAGGAAGGAGCATGAAGCTACCAACGTTTGTGGAAGTGGCATGGAGTGGGAACGGTCCATTCTTCCTCCTGCAGAGGCTCATCGCTCCCCCTGGTTGTCTCCGCAGGAAAGAAACTGGTGGTGGATGGATTCCTTCAAGACGGTCTATGTGGCGTGGGCAAGAGGAGAACCTAATAACGCCGACACCTGGGAAAACTGTGTCACGCTCCTTCCACGCAAAGGTAAGGGATCCCCTTGCAGAAAGGCTGGGTGGGTGAGTGGGTGGAGGAGGCGGCTCGGCCGTGCAACTTTACCAGATGCTGGGGCTCATGCTTATGGGAGCACAGAGGTTCCCAGGGGGGCCGTGGACCTCCTCGAGAACACCCCAGTTTGGACATTCTGAAGAATAACAGTTCCTTGGGGGGTCCCTTTGACACTGACTCACACAAGCTCCCTGTTGACACCCAGGGAAAGCCTGCTTTTTCATCCAAGCTTTTGGGACGTGGAGGGCCATTGCCAGGCCACCAGGTGGTACAGCTGCAGTGTGGCGTACACGACGGACACTTCCAAGGGAGCTAGCCCTCTTGTACCTACAATGAACGGTCTCTGGGTTTGGGGCCGGTATCCTGTTGCAGAGCTCTGCATGGTGATGACATCATTGGCAGGGGGAGAGTCTGGCAATTAAAGTGTTCCTAAAGTGGTCCCAACTTGTCCACAATGGGGACTCTTCAATTGCCAGCAATCTCCACCTGCTGGTGGCATCGTCAGCCTGACACTGTGGAGGCTCCTCAAGAAGATGCTGGCCTTAATGGGCATAAACCTCTGCTCATTTATGCCCGCCTAGCCCACTTCGTCAGATTCATGCTGCCTTAAAACATTTGAATAGGAAGGAAGATAGCTTCGTGTCGGACACAATGAGCAAGTAATCACCAAACTCTCTCCTGCTTCGTGGTGAAAGAGGCAGGCCAGCTGTTGGGATGGACCGTGGGACCGGCCGAGCAACGCCCTGCCCACGGGTGTCGAAAACTCCCAGTCCCCCTAATCTAATTATATTCCCACTCTGAGACAGAAATTATACAGGAGGCAGAGTGGGGCACTTTAGGACCTCAGCCACAGGAGAAAGGGTCTTCCTTAGGTTCAGATAAAATGTAACAAATACCTGTTTCCTTCACACACAACCCTAAGGAGAATTCCTAAGACATGTTGGCTTCACTGAGCAGTCTTCCATATTGAGCCCATACTTAGAATCTGGTGAACGGTTGCAAAAATAGATCATAATATGATAGGATATACCACTGACTGACTGGTTGGTTGGTTGACTTTATTTCAAATTTATTTATTTAAAATATTTTTTGCCCTGCTTTTCTCCTTGACATCATTAAAAGACAATATTAAAGCTAACAACGGCCAGCATACAAATACTATCCTAAAAACAAAAGCGATACTAAAAACACATTTAAAAGCAACAAGGCATAACCATCCGTGGTCTGGTCTCCAGTGGGAGGGAGTTCCACAGTCTGGTAGCCGCCACCGAGAAGGCCCTCTCCCAGGTCCCCCATCAGATGCACTTGTGAAGGTGGAGGGACTGAAAGGAAGTCCTCCCCCGATGATTTTAACACTCAGATAGGCTCATAAAATGAGATGTGATCCTTGAGACAACGGGGGCCCAAGCTGTTTAGGGCTTTAGGGGTTAAAACCCAAACTTTGAATTCAGCTCGGAAAGGAAAAGCTGTTGTCCTTCTCCAAAAAGTGCAAAGCATGCCACCCGGTGTGGCCCCTACCCATCAGGAAAGTTGAGAGAACGAGAAGGTCCCTAAGCCCTTTTCTCCGTTGCCTCCAAGGTTATAAGAAGTGGAATGATGACAACTGCATCAAGCGTTTCCCGTATCTGTGCAAGTATGAGCTGAAGTACCAGTAGAGGCCAACCTGCCGGTGCCTCCAGGTGAACTCCTCAGATCCTGTGACTTTCAGCGCCACCAAGTCAGAGACGACACCCCATGCTGCCTCTCAGCTGCCCCCCACAAAGGCTCCGGCATCTTCCCCTCACCTATCTGTATGCTTGGTTCCTTTGATTTACCCCCTGAGACTCACTCTGTCAAAGAATAAGGACGACCTCTTCCTCTGTCCTTTTCTTCCTGAATGCTCTGAATATCAGCCAACTGCGTGAGGCGGCTGCAAAAAAGGCCAATGCTATTTTAGGCTGCATTAACAGAAGTCTAGTTTCCAAATCCCCATTGGGTGCTCATTCCCCTCTATTTGGCCTCACCATGAGTCTTGTGTCCAGTTCTGGACACCACACTTCAAGAAGGATGCTAACAAATTGGAACACGTTCAGCAGAGGAGGGTGACAAGGAGGATGATCAGGGGGGAATGGAAACCAAGCCTTAGGACGAAAGGCTGAAAGAACTGTGCCTGTTTAGCCTTGGGAAAAGAAGACAGAGGGGTGATAATAGGAGAGCACTTTTCAAACCCTTGAAAGGCTGACCGACAGAGAAGGGGTAGGATCTGTTCTTGATCATCCCAGAGTGAAGGACACATAATAATGAGCTCAAGTGACAAGAAGCCAGATTTAGGCTGAATATCAGGAAAAACATCTTAACTGTTAGAGCAGTATGATGATGGAACCCATGAGCTTGAGAGGTGGTGAGTGCTCCAAGGCTGGAAGCCTTCAAGACAACCACCTCGCAGATATCCTTTGATCTGTATCCCTGTATCAAGCAGGGGGTTGGACTCCAGGACCTTAGAGGCCTCTGCCAACTCCATGATTGTATGATTCTGATTCTCTGTGTGGATGATTTAAAAGGAAAACCAGTGTAAATAAACACTACCTTCTTATCGTAGTTTGAATGGACTCTGATTCATTTCAAGTCAACAGTGTGGGTTGTGCGATCTCTGGAAGGGGTTGGGGAAACGGAAAGTGAGCCACGTCTGTGAGCAGCCCCAGGAGGCTGAAAAGGATCGTTTGTGCGGCTGGAAACTTCCCTTTTTCCTCCCATAAAGAAAAAACGGTCCCAAGACCTTGAGACAAGGCTCTCCGACGGCAGTTTGAAAACCTCCAAGGAAAGATAGCCCGCCACCTCGAAAAGGACTCTGTTCTGAGGTGGAGCAGCTCTAAACTTTTCAGTAAAATTCTTCCTAGCGTTTCATGGGAATCTCCTTTTTAAAATCATTTTAAGCTGTTGGTTCAGGTCCTCAACTCTGGTTTAGTATTGATTGATTGATTGATTGATTTGATTTGATTTGATTTGATTTGATTTGATTTGATTTGATTTGATTTGATTTGATTTGATTTGTACCCCGCCTATCTGGACTACCAGACCACTCTAGGCGGCTTCCAGTATAAAATAAAAGTAAAATACAATTAAAATACAAAAATGTGCATAGACATGGAATAACAATTAGAATCACAGTGAAATAAGGAAAATAATATAAGGAAAATTAGAAAAAGAATTCAGTAGAAGAAGAACAATCTTATTCCACACTCAAGGTGATGGATGCCCTTTGCAAATATTTAAACAGGGTTCTCCTGTCAG